GAGAGGGAAAAGAGGACTAAAATGAGGAGATGCAACTGAACCCACGACATCTCTGCTCTCCACAACCACCACCACCCCTTACACCTGTTTAAGTGCCCCTGACTCTTCAAAACTTATCATGGAAGGCAGCTCTCATGAAGACAGACATAAAGAATACATGTACACAGCCAAACACATAAATAAATAATGCATGAGCTGTGTTAAGTGCCTATTGTTGGGAATGACTGGGAATTCATGCAGGTTGCACCTGGCATAAGTTTTGAATTACAGGCCCCCAAGCAAGAGTTTGCAAAGACTCTCTCTCTCTCTCTCCTTTTACCCTTCTCCTCCTTCCATTAGCCCATTTATCTTCAGAAGTGCCCCTATCATGTAAACCCCCTTTTCATGGTCTCCTATTTACCATGGGAGCTATTAGAGCATTAGTTATATCTACGGTGTTTTGACAGGGTGCATTATGGAGAAATTCATGACCTCTTATCCAGTAAGTCAGGGAACATTTCAAAGCAATGAGAATCTAGAAGTCTCTTAAAGGAAAGGAATGACAAGAGCTTGGCAAGCTGGAGGAATGTGGGAATTCTAGGCATAGAATGTGGCGTAGGAAGAGAGGAGTTAGGAGTTCTGTAGTAAATAATCAGACAAGGGGCAGATGGAGCACAGTTGCCTGAAGAAAGTAGTAAGGAGGGTATGAAAGATCAAACAACAAGGATTTGTTAGGCCTCTACTGTGTGCCCCACATTGGGCTAGGCACCAAGGGTACAAAGACAGAAAGGAAAGTCTCTGCTCTCTAGGGGCTTACTATGGAGGAAACAGTGTGGTAGGTATATAAATATAAAATACATAAAAAACTAAAAATAAGAAGAGGAATTCCTAGGAGTTGGGAGGGATCCAGAAAGTCCTCATGTGTAGGTATTTCTTAAATCGAGCTTTTAAGAAATCTAAGGATTCAGAGAAGCAAACATGAGAAAAAGAGTGCATTTAGGCATGGGGGACAGCCTGTGAAAAGATGAGATAGTATGAATGAGGAACAGTTTGGCCACACTGTAGGATGTGTGAAGAGTAGGGATGTGTAATGAGCCCGTGGTGACACATCCTTTGGAAATAACACTTCAGTGGCTTTGTCAAGGATGGATTGGGAAGGGAAGAGTTCTGAGGCAGAGAGCAGTTGAAAAGCTATTGAAAGAGTCCAGATAAATGCTAAGGGAACACTAGGGAGGGTGGAGACTTAGAAGCAAAGAAGGTCTTGGTTTCATAGAACAATAAGAAGTCATAAGACAATAAGAACATGGAAGAATAAGAATAAGAAAAGGAGAGGTGTAATAAGATGATATGGGTAGAGGGGCGAAGCTGTAATATTAAAGATTAAATAAGTGGATGTGAAGAGATACATACATTTTTTGAACTGCCTGCATTATAATACAGTGGGATAAATGCTGAATTTGGAGCTCAGGGTTCCATGTACTTTACTAGCTTTGAGTTCTTTGCCTGAGTCTTAGTTTTCTTATCTATAAAATGGGTATAATGGAAGCAAACAAACAGAAAGTGATTCGTTTTTTTCCACCCTCTTTTTAAATCTAGAATTGAAAGTAATGTGTGACTGGAACAGAAGTAGACTTCATCAGTTACAGTACGTGCCACCTCCAGGGGTTGTCATGAGGGTCAAATGAGATAACATGCAAAGCACTTTGTAAACAGCGATGTGCTCTAAAAAATGACATCTGTTATTAGTGTAGTCAATAAGAATAACAATCAGAGTTACATGAATATGCCACTTTTATTGAAAAAAAAATTTGCATAAAAAAGACTCAATATGTAATTATTGATACTCACCAGGTTTGAATAGCTTTATTCTCTGGATATTTTTCATAATGGATGCTATTATGTATGGCTTCTAAGCTAATATAAGTATAAGCCAACCTAATCTTTCTGAGACAAAAATGGAATGTCAGTGATTTTGCCAAGCTATGAGCTACTCCACCAAGACGATTTTTACCACACTAGACATTAGCCAAGCACGTCATCAGCTTAGCAGAACTAGACAGCACCAGCTACATAAGTACAGACAAAGAATGAAAAATGTTTTCTCAAGTTATAGGGAGCCAGATTCATAACCATCCGTCACTCGCTTGGGCAAGTTGCTGATAAACTCCACAGAAAAATAACAAACAGTGTGTCCCTGCATCTTGGCTGTTGAAAATGAGATTCTTTCTCTGATTGATGTTAGCAGAGAGGCTTGTAAAAATGCATTTCCAGCTGATTAGTTCAGAAGGTGTCAATCTCATGCAGTTTTATGACCTGCAGACTCCACACCAGATGTACATTTGCTTTTTATAAACTAACAAAGATGAATGAGTAAATTTGAGCATTCCTCTTTGGCAACTGTACTATATATTCCCTAAGGGAGTACTCTGTGGGGGGAGGGGGGAAAAGGAGACATTTAACCCCTGAGGCACCAAATGTTGATTTTTTTTTAGAAAGTCTTAGAGAGGTGAAATAGATCAAATTTGGAATTCCTTTCCTCAGTGAATTGTTTTCACTCTTGGTAGGCATTGGCCATGGAGGGATAAAAGCTGAGAGATGTTTGAGATACTGCTTTTACACTCAAAAGCTTAATAGAGTAAATAAACATTAATTCCACTTCTCATGGGGAAAGAGTTCTTTTCTAAAAAATAAATTTTATCTCTTGATTTTACATTGCCTAGATTTCTTCCAAATGCCCCCTCCCAGAGCTATCACAAAGCAAAAAGAATATTTTTAAAGACAAAAGAAAAATAAACAAAATCAAAAAAGTATGAAAATATATTCAATGTTTCACACCATGGTCCTCTCACTTCTTCAAAGGAGTCAAGGGAGGTGTCCTCTCATATCCCTTCTTTGGAGTCATTCTTGTTTTTTTTGTAATTCAGCAATATTCATTTTCTAATGTTTTATGATGGTTGTTCTTTCCATGTACATTGTTGTAGTCATTGTATACATTTTCTTGGTTGTGCATATCACAATCTACATCAGTTCACGTCAATCCTTCCATGTTTCTCTGTATTCATCATATTCATTGTTTCTTATACAACAGGAAAATTATATTATGTTCATGAACCCAATTTACTCAGTTCTTCAATCAATGGCGCATCTCCATGGTTTCTACTTCTTCACTACCACATAAAAGTACTGGGGACTTTCTTCTTATCATGGCTTCCTTAGGGTATATGTCTAGTAATGGAATCTGTAGGTCAAAAGGAATGGACGTTTTGCTCTATTTGGACATTCCAAAATAGAGGAAAGAATTCATAAAAGAAATGCACTATACATTTTAAAGATTCTTTTTACAATCTCTTAACATATAAGCATGATTTGCCACATGAAAGCACATTTTCCCACTCCCCACCTTTTAAAGCTAGGAATCACATTGTATGAATGGGACAAAAGTTGTCTTTGTCACTTATCAGTATGTCTTTGAATCACTTTGTGCTTTCAGCTCCTTGAAGAGTGGCACAATATAAATACAAAGCATTAGCCTTATTATTATAGTATCCTCTGATGAAAAAAAACCAACATCATTGCATTATCTCCTCCTATAGCTTGACAACAAATATAGTGTTTCTTCGCATTCAGACTTTTTCTATCTCTATAACCCATTGGGGAAATGATTAAACAAGGTGGAAAAAAATGCAGTAAGATAGTCAGGTTATTTAAAAACTGATCTCAAAGTTCAAAATAAGCTTTTATCTGTTATTATTTGGGGATATATGTATGTGCATATTAAGTCCTTTGAGAACACAATTGTTATTGTTTCAAAAAGGGATAGACCTAATATAACACATAGTATATATAGAAACACATTCTGCTTAAATACCCAAAGGTGAATATAAGATGCATGTGCTTACAAGTTAGCTCCCATTGATCAGAACAAGTTGAAACTTAACAAAATCTGTTTATCAATGATCTGAACTCACACATTTTTGTGCATATGAGTCTTTTCAGAAATTAAGGTGACAAGCAGCAATCTCTTATTTGTCATATCAATGATATGAAAAAATCTCAGGATCATGAAGTCTTTCTTTAGTATTAAAACATATTTGAAGTAACGTACTTGAAATGAATTAAGGAAAATAACAAGGAGATGTAAGTTAACGTCCTCATAGAGTCAGCATGATCCAGTGCAGCAAAGCACAGACTGTCATCTCCTATTTTACTCCATCTATTATATTGACCTACTTTGTGAATTTGGGCAGTTTCACTCCATTTATACTATTCTTTCTCTTTTGCCTCAATTTTTCCCATAGCCTAAAACAAATGAAGGGTCAGAATTTTTTTTAAATGAAACAACTTTGTTAAAACATGCTATGTTGATTAAAATGCATTTTACTATATTAACTCAAGATGCATTCCCCCCCAGAAAAATAAAAGCTAAGAAACCATTTAAGCCTTATTCAACAATATTCAGTATTTCTAATACAGATATTATAACTACTCTAAATTCTTCCATCCTGTTAAGGGTCATTTGTTTAAATAAAGGCATATTCCCTCTTTTTTCAAAATTCAGAATGAAAAAAAGATTATTTTTAAACTCCTCAAGTCTACCTTCTTTCCCTCAAGAATACCCCTCTAGAAAGACAAGTTTTAAAAATGCATTTATATATCATAAAATTTATATAGACTGCTCTTTTTTCCCCAAAACTAATTATTTCATTAGTGTAAGAAGTTCCAGGTGAGGAAATTCCTTCTTCCAGTGTAGACTGGTAACCATTCTGCAATTTACAGTCTCTGAGAGTAGGCCATAGTATTGCAAGGTTAGGAGACTGGCCCAAAGTCTCCCAGCTATTTGTCTCAGTAGTGGGACATGAACTCAAGTCTTCTACATGTCTGTAGCCAGTTCTCCATCTACAATATCACGTTGCCACTCTTTACTCATCCTCTTCTTCCTCTCTCCCAGTCCCCCAGCTACGTATTTGTCAATGATGCACTGGAAAAAGGGATCACTCATTGGTTTAAATTTCTATCTGCAGATGGACTAATTGACTGTATGGACCCTGACTGCTGCTTACAAAGTTCCTGCCAGAATCAGCCCTATTGTCGTGGACTCCCGGATCCGCAAGATATCATTAGCCAAAGCCTACAGTCACCATCTCAGCAAGCTGCTAAGTCTTTTTATGATCGAATTAGTTTCCTTACAGGGCCGGACAGTACTCATGTTATACCTGGGGAAAGTCCTTTCAATAAAAGGTTAATTAATGTTTTGTCTTTAAGATATAAAATGATGTTCCTGTTTGTGTCTGTAGTGGCTGATCTGCATGGCATGGGAAATGCTGATGACTGCACCCTTGACGAATGTGATATTTCCCCCAATCCCCAAGTTTCCTTTCTTTCCATTCTAACCATCTCCAACATTTGTGACTTAGCACATGCACTTTGCCAAGTTCTGTACCTGGGACCTAACAGGACATTCCATTAAGGAGTCAATAAATCTTCATTTAACTAGTTGATTCAGGTTAGCACAGTTGGAAGTGTATCAGAAGAAGCCATGAAAAGAGCTCAAAAGGAAAGAAAGAAAGAAATGCATCTTTTTTTTTTTTAAACTGAGCTCACTAAATAAAATAAATTATGAATTAATGTAATGGAACTGCTAACTGCATGGTGGTATGATTACATAAGCTATTTGACTGGTGTTTTACAGAGCAGTAATGACCTGAAAATAAACCCATAAGTGAAAGCAGGTGTCTCGTGTCTCACTGAGCAAAGGAAGATGATTTACACTGGAACTCCTGGGTCTGCAGAAATTTAACAGCATTAGTGCAGTTAGGCACAGCAGTTGATTAAAAGTTGTTACACAAATGTTCCTTATTGCCCCTTTAAATCTTGCACTCCTTGGTCCCCGCAGATTTCCAGATTGCCTCAGAATTAATTGGAAAGTATACTTTTCTTAATGCAAGTACCAGACATATGACTTATAAAAGAAAAGCATAGAGTTTATAATTTTTAAGAATTCATCACTAAATTATTGGTCTTGATCTCTCTCCAAAGAACAGACCGCAACAAATTAAAACACAGGGTAAACAGGAAGGTACTTAGAGAATGTAAATTACATGGAGTTAAAAGAGGGCATTGGCTTGGGAGTGTTTCAGCTCTGATTTTGTGAATAGCAATTGATTGCATGTGGTAGTGTTTTTCTGTCCTTAAGTTACATTACCTATAAATCACAGTAATGTTGGCCTGAGAAAACAAATGCTCGTTCTAATTCTTTTATTTTTCCCACAGTCTTGCATCTGTCATTAGAGGCCAAGTACTAACTGCGGATGGGACGCCCCTTATTGGAGTTAACGTCTCATTTTTTCATTACCCAGAGTATGGATACACTATTACTCGCCAGGATGGAATGTAAGTTGGTGCTACCACACATCTATGTTTACATTACTTGCTTATTTAGAAGAAAGGCTTGTGACGATTGGAATGATTTTCATTATTAGTGCTTTAAAGTAGAAATGAGTTTTTGAGACTTTAGAGAACTGTGTAAGAAAACATGTTGAAAAGATTTACTGTTAGATACTTTTTGATGTTGATTACTTCTTTTTTTTTTTTCTTTAGAGCTGCTTAATGCAAGGAAGAAAGAGGATATAATGTGTGATGGTAGAATTCAAGGTCAGGAAAATTCATTAAGTTTGTTTCTTTTTAGGTTTGACTTGGTGGCAAATGGCGGTGCATCTCTCACTCTGGTATTTGAACGGTCACCGTTCCTCACTCAGTATCACACTGTGTGGATTCCCTGGAATGTCTTTTATGTGATGGATACCCTGGTCATGAAGAAAGAAGAGAATGACATTCCCAGCTGTGATCTGAGTGGATTTGTGAGGCCAAATCCTATCATTGTGTCATCACCTTTATCCACCTTTTTCAGATCTTCTCCTGAAGACAGTCCCATTATTCCTGAGACACAGGCAAGATATAACTTAAAAATAAACCATCTTCTAACAATGTGCCTTTCAAAAAGACTTAAAAGAGTTTGCAGATTTCTAGCAAAGTCATAAAAATGCTTTAAGAATGTGATATTAAAAATGACGGGTTAAAAATTCGAAGGGCTATATAGGGTTTGGTTTGTTTCGTAACATTACGGCACTCTATATAATGATACTCCTAAAGAGAATGGCTTTTTGCTCTATTTATGTAAGCACATACTGTTTAATTACCAACCATTTCACAATTAATATAAGGGGGGAAACTGTCTTGACCAAGATTGTTCTTGAAACAAAAACATGATCCTTTGTTCTTAAAAAAAAAATCCAATACCTGATGTTTCTTCTTAACTTGAAATAATTAATCAGTCATACTCTGTATAGCAAGTAATGATGGTATTTTTAAGGATAGAGTATGTTATTTGTTTTTTAACTAGGCCTTATGCTGCTTGGAAGATGCATTTATTATTTTTCCCTTCCATATGTTTTCCACTAAAAAAAAATACTTTTAGTTCTTGAGGGCAGGGAACTGAACACAATAAAAATTGGCTTTATTCATAAATGGTAAATATAAGGAATTTGTGGTTTTCAGAGCAAAACAGAACTCTGAAACCCTTTTGCAAATACGTATCTGCTTAAGCCAGGATAACTTAAGTGTTGGCCAACATCACAGAGAAAGGTAGCTAAGGAAACATAGATCAGAAGAGACAATATTGAATAATCAGGCCTGTTTTAGTCTTCTTAATTCAATAAACCTTCCCCATTCTAGAGTAGATATGAATCTCTACTGGTCCTAGAATAAATCCAGTCTACGGGAAGGGTGAGATAACATCTATTCCACACAATAGACGAATTCCTGAAAGCCAGACCATGGGTTAATTCAATTCAGCAATTTGACAAGCATTTTTAAGTACCTACTATGTGCCCAGCAATATGCTATGGGCAGGGGACAAAAAAAAAGTGTGTCTGTGCTTAAATAGCTTTCATTCTAAAGAGGGAAAATAACATGTACAGCAGAGAGATTCTAGAGTGGTTTGCCATTTCTTTCTCCATATCATTGTACAGATGAGGAAACTGAGGCAAACAGGGTTAAGTGGCTCACCCGGGATCATACAGCTGGTAAGTGCTGAAGCTGGATTTGAACTTAGGTCTTCTTGACTCCAGGCCCAGCCCTACCCAAATTCAAATCCAACTCCAATGGTTACTCCAAGTTCAGTTTCCTTATGTTTAAAATGAAAGAGTTTTACTAAATCTGTGAATTTTCTCTGGTCCTTCATTTCCCATTTCTGGGAAATGAGTGGGTTGAAAATGATAATCCTTAAGATCTTCCACATCCCAAACTCTGGAATTCTTCAGATTAAAGGAAGGAAACAACGTATTAATTATCTACGATGTGCCAGGCACTGTGCTTCTTTGTTGTTAACTGTTTAGTTGTGTCCAACTCTTCGTGACCCCATTTGGGGTTTTCCTGGCAAAGATACTAGAGTGGTTTGCCATTTCCTTCTCCAGCTCACTTTACAGATGAGGCAAATAGAGTGAAGTGACTTGCCCAGGGTCACACAGCTAGTAAATGTCTGAGGTCACATCTGAACTCAGGTCTTCCTGACTCCAAGCCCAGAGCTTTATCCACTGCACCTAAGAGCTTTACAGATATTTCATTTGATCTTCACAGTAACCCTGGGAGATAAGTAAGTGATATCATTATTGCCATTTTACAGTAAAGTTAGACCAGAAGTTAAGTGACTTGTCCAAGATCAGACTAATAAGTGTGTGAGACCAGATTTGAACTCAAGACCAGGGCAACCCTGGCTGCCTCTAAAAGTACGTGGGGAGCAAAGGGAACCAAAAAACAGACATCAAAAGGAAAAGTCAGATTCTGAAAAAGGAGGCAAATTTTAAGACGCAGAAGGAGAAATGTGAAGAAAGGCAATCATGTAGAAATGATGGTAGAAAAAAGGCTGAACGACAGACCATAAACTAATTTGAATCCTAAAGTACGTGTAAGTTCTTTCCTAAAGTGGTTTTACCATTTTGATTTCCAGAGTGTTTCTTTCAGTTTGAGGTTCAAACATAGTGATTTCTCTAGGATGCTTTGATCATGTGGGAAAACACTGAGAGTTGAGCACGTGTCAAACAGTTCTCAAACTTTTTGGTTTTAGGATCTATTTAGTCTCAAAAATTATTGAAGATCCGAAAGAGTTTTTGTTTATGTGGGTTATGTCTAATAATATTTATAGTATTAGAAATTAAAACTGAAAAATTTCTGAAATATGTATTTGAATTTTATTTTAAATTAATATGTATTAATAACTAAAGTGATTAAAATGATTAAAATTAATAATATACTGAATTTTAATATTTAAGCAGGCTGTTTAGAAATAATAATCTCATTATGTTAGTATACATATTTTTATGAAAAATAACTATATTTTCCCAAAAAAAGGTGAGAAGAGATATATTTTTGCTCATCTATTTACTGTCTGGCTTTATAGAAGATAGCTGGATTTTTATAATGCTTCTGCATTCAGTCTTTAGTGATATATTATTTTGGTTGAAGTATATGAATATGTGGCTTCACACATATATGTAGTTGGAAAAGGGAGGAGCATTTTATAAGTAAAAGAGATCTTAGTGTTATGAAAATAGTTTTGACCTCACAGCCCCTTTAGAGTCTGCAGACCACACTTTGAGGACTGCTGCTAAAAAGCAGTCAATCATCATTTTAACTCTCTTCAGCTCTCCTGAAGACTTTAATGTCATCCTGAGAAGCATTATGGACTTGAACAATCTATTGCATTCTCTTAATGAATCATTAAGCTTTCTAATTTATTCACACATATTATGGTTGGTTAGAAAAATCTCAGATGAGAATCAACCACCTTTGACGTTTAATAGCTGCGTGGCCTCCTCGCATCAAGCTCTCTGAGCCTCAGTTTTCTTTTCCAACCTTAACTTCTTCAGAATCATATCCTCATCGATGGAAAATTGAAAACAGAGTCCGATGTGTTGACCCACTAGGGCTTCCTTAAGGAAGGTATTAGACTGCTAAAGAATTTTGCTGGTTACAGGGCCTGTCCACAGACTACAATTCCCCATCAGGAGTATGTCCTTTCAAGGACTTGTTCATAAATGATCAAAACAGTGTGAGAAAAGACATCTGGGGTACATATATTGAGCTCAGTATGAGTCAGTCGTGTGATACGGAAGCTAGGAAAACTAAAGCAGTTTTAGGCTATATTGAAATGGCATGCCGTTCTGAACTACAGAGATGAAAGTCTCACGGGACCCTGCCTTATCCAAACTACACAGAAAGTACTGGGTTCGGTTCTGGATGCCACACTTCCAGAACACCACCAATAAACTGAAGAGGATTCAACAGAGGACGACTAAGGTGGCAAAGGCATCAGCAACATGAGAATAGATTGAAGAAATTGGGGATGTTTAGCCCGGAAAAGAGAAGACTGGGGCCAAGAGTCCTAAGAGCTGTCTTTCAAGTATTTGAAGAGATATCGCATGGAAGAGGGATCAGACTCATCCTACTTTGTCCCCTAACAAAGAATGAGAACAAATGGGTAGAAATTGCAAAGAGGAGGATTTAACTTGATATATGGGGAAAGCTAGGTGGTGCAGTGGGTAGAATGCCAGGCCTGCAGTCAGGAAGACTCATCTTCTTGAGTTCAAATCTGGCCTCAGATACTTCCCAGCTATGTGACCCTGGGCAAGTTACTTCACTTTGTTTGCCTCAGTTTCCTCATCTGTAAAATGAGCTGGAAAAGGAAATGACAAACCACTCCAGTATCTTTTGCCAAGAAAACTCGAAATGGGGTCGTGAAGAATCAGACACAACTGAACAACAACAACAAAGGTGATTAGAGTTTCCTAATGGGCCTGCACCAGGAGGCAGCAAGTTCCCTCTTGCCAGAAGTTTTCATTCTAAAGGTTAGATTAAAAATAACTCAAGAGAATTCTTTTTTCAGATATGGTTAGACTAGATGAACTGCAAGGTCCCTTCCAATTCTGAAAATGTTGTGATTCTAGGATAATCTAACAATTTTTGATCAGGTAGCTAATGAAGGCCAAATCATAGGTTTGTTTTACAAAGTAGTCCAATCAACTTGTTTCTCTTCTTTAACTACTAGACCTCGTATCCTTGATCTCAGTCAATCAGATCATATATCTTTTGGTCCTTTCCAGAGGTGCCTTTGAATCAAGCAACCAACACTCTACTCTTTTTTAAAAAAGAATATAAATTTTAATGTATGTATTTTCTTTTTATATCACCTATTTCCAGAGGTGTGCTGGTAAATGTTTTACAACCAGCTTTACCCCCAAAAATGTATTAATGATATACTTTTAAGTTTAATATGCATTATTGACATTTTCTCCATCACTTTCTTAAGTCTAAACAATCAACAAAACACCAAATCAGGCAGTTTCTAAGGGGTAAATGCTCATGCTGAAAACTTAACAGTTAACTGTTACAAACCAGTACAGATGGGCCCCAGCACACCATTACTGTTTTCTCAATGTATCCCTCCCCTTCCCCTTCATCCCTTGTAACAGGCTTTTTAAGAGGGAAAAATGATTCAGCAAAGCTAACCAACACACATCAGCAAAGTCTAGTATTGTATGCAGCATTCCACACCCAGAGTCTCCCACCTCTAAAGAAATTGAAGTGGTCTCTTCTCATATCATTTCTATAGGATCGAATTTATTAACATTAATTTTACAGCATTTAATTTTGATTTTTTTTACTGTTCTTTCCATTTACACTGTCAGTGCCCATTATGCATGATGTTTTTTCTAGTGTTACTTTACTTCATATCAATTCATGTGTCTTCCCAAGAATCTCTATAATCACTGTATCTATCACTTTTTACAGCACAATAATATCCCTTTTATCTATATACCACATTTTGTTTAGCCATTCCCTTGCTGATGGGCATCCACCCTGCTTCCAGTTCTTAGCAGCTGTCAAAGTGATCTTTCTAAAGTACAGATCTGACCATGCCACGTTCCTTTTCAGTAAACGCCAGCACCTCCTTATTGCCCCTAGGATGAAACAGAAAATTCTCTGGCTTTTAAAGTCCTTCACACCCTGCCTCTTTCCTATGCATTCCTAGTCTTTTTAACACTGTACATCCCTTTACATTCTCAACAATCCAGCAACACTGGTCTTTTTGGTATTCTTCTCACACAACACTCCGTCTCCCACGCAGGGCATTTTCACATTTTCCATATGCCTGGTATGCCCCGCCTCCCCTCAACCTTCTAGCTTCCCTGGCTTGCTTCTAGACTTACCTCAAATCCTACCTTCTGCAAGAGACCTTTCCCAGTTCCATCTCTGCCCCACTCCAGCCCTAAATGCTAGTAGCACCTTCCCTCTGGGATTATTTCTCATTTGCACCGTATCTTGTACATAAATAGTTGTTAACACATTGTTTCCTCTATTAAGATTGTGAGCTCACTGTGAACAGGGACCATGCTATAAATATTTGGGTATGGAAGGGAATTTTTTTTTTTGGTGAGGCAATTGGGGTTAAGTGACTTGCCTAGAGTCACACAGCTAGTAAGTGTTGTGTCTGAGGCGGATTTGAACTCAGGTCCTCCTGACTCCAGGGCCGGTGCTCTATCCACTGCACCACATAGCTGCCCCTGGAGGGGAATTTTTAAAAAATCATTGGCTTTCTCAGAGTACATGCTAACTAGCAGCAGAATCTCTGGATCAAGGGCCTTCTGGTCAGTTTCTTAGCATCATTCCAAGTCGCTTTCCAGAATGATCGAGCCAGTTCACTGCTCTGTCAGCAGTACAGCAGAGGACCTGTCTATCACGGCCCCTCCAACATTGCCTATTCCCATTTTTGTTATCTTTGCCGGTTTGTTGAGTGTGAGGTGAAACCTCAGAGTTAGGGGATTCTCTCTTGGTTCTATCAGCATCAGATGTGACTCTGAACTAGGAGACAGGTAAAGGGCAGCAGATAAAAGACGGTGGAAGAATCTGTATTATTTATGAGTATTACTAGAATAACAAATCAATGAACAACTTTTCCTGATATGCTTTTGGAATACTTTAGATTATGGATATTGTAACAGAATGGAAATTGTTCATATTAATTACCAAATAAATATGACCAATATTGAACAGTAGAAGAAGCATTGATTCTGGAGTCAGAAAACCTGGGTCCAATCCTATTTCCTATACTACCAATAGATATGACCTTGGGCAAGTCACTCAACCTGCTTCACCTCAATTTCCTCCAGTGCAAATGATGGAGTTGGAAAACAGGGCCTCTATTGTCATTTCCAATTCTAAATTTATGATCCTAAGACCCATTAAAATCTCTGCTTCATGTCTGGTATGTGTATTTACTCTCTAATGCCTTGTTTTGCTGTATAATTTGGGGGATTTTTGTTTTCTGATGCAGCAAATGTATCAACTATAACTGATATTTTTTAATCTGTTTTATTGATAACTTAGGTACTTCATGAAGATACTTCAATTCCAGGAACAGACTTGAAACTCTCCTATTTGAGCTCCAGAGCAGCAGGGTACAAGTCAGTCTTGAAGATCACCATGACTCAGTCTGTTATACCATTCAATTTAATGAAAGTTCATCTGATGGTGGCAGTCGTAGGGAGACTCTTTCAAAAATGGTTCCCAGCGTCACCAAATCTTGCTTATACATTCATATGGGACAAGACTGATGCGTATAATCAGAAAGTCTATGGTTTGTCTGAAGCTGTTGGTGAGTTCCATAGATGTTGCAGCTTGTTTATTTCTTACTGCCTTCATTTAAACTTTTATTTCAAATTCATAATGATTACAGAACTAACTATAGCTCATGGAAATTCAGTGGGCATCAGTTAGAAAGGGAGATAGGCAATTTTGGAAGGACTCTCAGTTACCTGAGAAAGATATATCCTACCTGGTGCATAGCATTCTGTAGAGAAACGATAAGTGTACCATGTGAGAGAAAGGAGATGCCTCTCTTTCTTTCTTTTTTTTTTTGAAGTGAAGGTTGTGTCCCAGAGGAGCTTGGGTGAAATGTCATCTTGGAGTCATGTCCTCTCTCCCCTTATTTATCTGTATTTCTTCCCTCCATTGTACTTTCTTCTCTATTTTTCCCTGCCTAACTTCACGTATTATTTCTATGGGTTGTTTTTCTCCATTTCTCCTTCCTTTTTTTCTCCCCTGCATTTCTTCCATATGGATCAGTCGCCTACTCAGAATGACATTTAATAGTAGAAGATATACTCAGCTAGGTCTAAATCCCAAATCAGCTCAATCATTTAACCCAAACTGAACTAACAGTCACTTTACTCAAGCAGCAAATCAATTAAGTAGAAAAAGGAAAAAAAAATCAAGTCATACCAGTTGTTGAAGTGAATTGACTGGATGATATAGTCAGAGTAGCTGAACTTGGTATGTGCATTGGCATAGCCTCAGGCCCAGAGCATCAGAAACCAAGCTCAGAGTGGGAAGTATTTCGGGCATGGGGAATTTGTGTTCTGTAACTCATTTCAGGCTGAAATGTCAGTAATATTTAAGATGAAAATATCTTTCTAGGGCCTGAGTTATCCAATTCATGTAACCACATAATTGTGGATTCTTTCCTTCATTTTGTGTACAATATAAAGCTCTGATGTTTCCTCTTATTAGGGGCTAGCATGGTGTCTTACATATCACAGGAATTTAATAATTATCTGTTGGAATGATTTGAATCCTACAACGAAACCTTCATTTTTACTTTCATGCTTACCAATTTACTACTCGATTACTTACGTTCAGTTCTAATATTAACACATGAAAACAGTAATCCTGCGTGTTTCCAATAATAAGTCTTATCACTTAGCAACATCAGAAATGGAACAGCAAGAAGAATTTGGTTATCACTTATGATTTTTAGTTATAATCATTCAGTGAATTCTGAATTATCAATTCCTAGACCTCCACTTCACTTTGTATTTTGTGGATACAACCTTTGGGTGCTCTTTTAAGTCATTGAAAAATCTCAGGGGATTATGTTTTTTTTTTAATTTTAAGTGAAAATGTTTACATTTTCTGAATTATCAAAACAAATTTGTTTTTCACAAATGGCAGCCCCAGAATACAATATGAGCGCATTTCTGCCTGCACTTGGGAAGATGAAATGTGATTTGTTGTTATTGCAGTGTCTGTTGGGTATGAATATGAATCTTGTTTGGACCTAACTCTGTGGGAAAAGAGAACCGCCATTTTGCAAGGCTATGAATTGGATGCATCCAATATGGGTGGTTGGACACTAGATAAGCATCATGTGCTGGATGTTCAGAATGGTAAGATGTTTCCTATCACTAGTAAAAAAGAAAGAAAAAAATTAAGACTATTTTTAAAAAGATTTCAAATTCCTTTATCCAACAGATGAAGGGAGAAAGTAGGTCATGTTTGGGTTTTTTTTAGATTGTTGTTTTTCTCCTTGATTCCTCTCCAGGATTATTTAAAGATTTATTTGCAAATCTTAGTGTGATGGTGCTTGTTTCATTCCTTAAGGATCTGCAGTGTGTATGCATACAGAATCCTTTCAAAGTTAAAAATTAATCTCCAGATGACCAGCCCTGTAGTAATGAGCCTCTCCAAACTTAGCTCATCTGGTGTTCCTTGGTTCAGAGACTCAAAATCCATCAGTAGACACAAACTAAAAGTCATTCTACATTGGTAGGACATTTCAGACTCAGCATTCATCTGGCATAGCCTTTTGAAAACTAAAGGTCAGATCACCCTGAGACGTCATCTGGAACAGGTTGGGGTTGAATTAAATAATCTCTAAGGGCCCTTCTAACTCGAAATTGTATGATTTTATGAAAGATTAAACTTGGATCTTAATCCCAAATTTCAAGAAGTGATAGGTTAGTGTGATACTTTTATATAGCTTTATTGACACTTGGTGTTCAGTAAAAGATCAAGCAGAGATGCTTCACATGAATTCAGACATCAAGTCAAATGTGAGAACTAGACCGTAACAAAAAATATTTGCAAACTTGACAGAAAAAATTATTTGAAAAGATGAGTCAACTTTAATTCACAAGGTGAATTGATTGTGACTTTAAATTATGTCCAAGAGTTGAGCTTGACAAGTAGTGACTTTTCAAAGTGATGTGTGTCTAATTGAATAAACAAAATGATTTGTAGCCATGACACAATGGATGAGCTATGGAAATCTGAGGAGCAGAAAGAGGTAAAAATGTAGACAGTGACAGGTGCTTGGGTGAGCACCCTGAAACATGGAAATAAATATTCTAATGCTTATCCTTCCATTCTGTCGTAACAGAGGAGTGTTGAGAAGGGCCAATCTTTCAAAGTCATAGCTGAATAAATCAGGTGCAGTGAGCAGTGTGCTGACTTGTCAAAACTCTTCTGACAAACATTATAGAAATGAGCTCTTTTTGCAAAATTGGAACTCCATGATTGTTGAAAATTGTGTAACCAAAAGAAGAAAGATTTTAGGTGTTATTGATGTATTCTTTTTTGTATCCTGGTAAACTATATGTTATTATTTTGCAGCCATACTTAAGATTTTCTTTCTTAAAATTTAAATGTCAGTTTCATCCTTCTTAATTTCTTAATGTAAATAACAGCATTTAAAAATAACCCCTGTTGGTGTAATGTGACTTTTTTTTCTGCTTTCTTACTAACTTTACAATTACTCTGGGCAGGGATGAGGGAGGAGCAGAGAAGAAGGAAGAGTGTCTTAGATTCTTCATGTGTATTTTCTTAGGGTTTGATAGTATTTCCAAATCAGCAAAGACAAACAACCATTGGCTAAAGAGCTGCTTTGAAATTTGGTCTAGTCAATAAAACACACATCACTGGAAAGCATAAAGCAGTTTACCCAAATTGTTAACATGCTGAGATATGCACCCAACAATGGTAACTGACTGTCAGTAGGGTACACTGTGACTCAGTCACAGATCCTTAGCAGAGGTCAGCAGACTATGGCCTGTAAGCCAAATCCAGCCCACTGCCTGGTTTTGTATGACCTATTAGTAGTGAGCCTAATTTGGCCCTTGGGGAAGAGTTTGCTGACCTCTGATTTATAGAACACAAATACATTTAAAGAATCTAAACTTTAAAAAAAAGTTTCCAAGTATGAAGCATGTAGAATTCTGTGTTGAGATTTTTCTTTTTTTTTTTTTTTTAGAAGACTATAAACAGAATAGTCATTGCATTTTGTTTTAATAGTCACTTAAGCCTCAGTTCTCTTATCTACAAAATGGGAATAATGTTTTTTGCTCTCCTCCTCTGGGTTACTTTGAGGAAAGTACTTTACAAATCTAATAAATATGTGCTGGTAGTAGTGGTGGTAGTAATTACTACTAATAACAAAAGCTTTACTTTCATACCTTAAAACAGAATTCAATTTAAAGAGTAAGCTGGGATTCCATAGCACTTTTCCCTGTAACATTCATCCTGTGTACATATTGACTAGCTACATATACATGTAGACTTATCATCAAATATAAATTTTTAACAGAAAAAAATAAACCCTTTAGTGATGTTCAGACAAGCACTGAATATTTTTAACAGCCTGAAAAGTGTCAGAGACTAAGGTTCAAATTCCATCTTTCATCCTTACTCCCTGTGTAAGGAAGCACCTTCGTATCCACGGGCCTCAGTTTCCTCATATCTAAAATGAGGGGGCTGCCTTAGATGGTCTGAGGTCTCTTCCACATCTAGACCTATGATGTCATGTACATAAAAAAAAAAGTCAGGAAGACCTGAGTTCACAAATATAGCCTCAGGAACTTTCTGGCTGTATATCAAGTCACTTAACTTCCATTTGCCTCAATTTCCTCATCTGTAAAATGGACATAATAATAGTACCTACTTCCCAAGATTGTTGTGAGGATTAAATGAGATCATAATTGTTAAGCACTTAGCACAATGCCCAGCATGTGCTAAGTACTATGTAAGTGTTAGCTATGATTAGTACTATTATAAACCCACAAGGAAAAAAGAAATAATCTCATATGTCTGTATCAGTTATCCTAAAAAATAGTTGATCGATAGAATCATCTCTTTCCAAGGTTCATTTCGATTATTAGCCAATTATAACTTCTGTTTTATAAAATATATTTTTCACCATATACTGCTTTAATTTTAAATTAAACATTTTCCCATCCAAATCTAAGATGCAGTAGATGGTAGTTGGTGGAAGATGGGTATTATTAAAGGTATAATTTTTCAAGGGATTTCTTTTAATAAAAGGAAAAAATGAATGTGTCTGTTCTACAGGTATACTCTACAAGGGAAATGGGGAAAATCAGTTCATTTCTCAACAACCTCCAGTGGTCAGTAGTATCATGGGCAACGGACGGAGGCGCAGCATTTCATGCCCAAGCTGCAATGGTCAAGCTGATGGCAACAAGCTCCTGGCTCCGGCTGCTTTGGCTTGTGGAATTGATGGCAGCCTGTATGTAGGGGATTTCAACTACGTACGGCGGATATTCCCTTCTGGGAATGTAACTAGTGTTCTGGAACTGAGGTATGTATGTCTTTCGTATGTCTTTCCTTAATTTGGGGATGGTTGAAATGCCACATAGTATTACATTTGAATTCATTATACATTTTTGACATTTTAATACAAAAGGGAAACAGCTTAAAAAAAAAAGTTGAGTTTAAGTTACTAACCTATTTATCCAGACCTATCTTCCAAGTGTTTAAATTAGTCCCTAGGAATGTTAGGTCCTTTGTGGGGGTCAGGAAAAGCCCAGGTTTAAGTATATTCATTCTGTCAGGCCATTAACGTGGTTTACCAGGACTTTGCTGAATGGTCCCCTAACGGACCAATATAAAAATTCCTTATTGGCTCCATTGAGCAACTAGCACACTGGGGGGATATGGCTGAGTGTTTATAATCACTTTAATTTCCTTCAGAACAACCTTGTGATATAGGTTGATAGATACCGTTACCCTCATTTCACAAGTGATGAAATTGAGGAGTGAACTGTTTAAGGAAGCTTAGATGGTAGGACATGGCAGGGAGATAAGCAGGAACACCATTCTCCAGGGCTGCATTTCCAAGTGCTCTTTTAATCCACTTACTACAGAGTTACTGTCGAAACTTTTCTTGGTTAATGTAAGAGCAATAACAAAATATTATAACAGTCAAAATCAATTGTCTTACTTTACAAGTAAATTAATTTGTCGCACTCTATGAAATTCACTTCGTCTTATTTCTGTTAAATTAACAATATTCTGTTAAAAAAAAATAAAATATTTGTGTTCTACTCATTCTTTAACTTCTTTGTTGACTTTCTCTAACTGAACTTTTTTTTTTACCTTTTCTTTATCTGCTCCTCCCAAGAAATAAAGATTTTAGACATAGGTAAGCATATTATTTAAAGGTGATTTTATGTTTTCAGTGCCCATTTTACTTCTTAAGCATTCATTCTGAACTTGGTTCTTTTTTTCCAGTAGTTTATTATGAGAGGAGACCTAATATCAGAAAAAATGATTAAGCTTTTATAAAAGTAAACATTTTACTTATGTTTATTCCAGATGTTAAGTGGTAAAAGTGATGGATGCTTGTTCCTGGCCATATCTTGAAAAAGATTTATATCTGGGCTGTGTCTCTGTGAATGGCTTTTGAGTTCAGTCGTGTTTGACTCTTTGTGGCCCCATTTGAGGTTTTCATGGCAAAGATGCTACAATGATTTGCCATTTCCTTCTCTAGCTCATTTTACAGATGAGGAAACTGAGGCAAACAGGATTAAGCAACTTGCCCAGGGTTGTACAGCTAGTAAGTATCTGAGGTTGGATTTGAACTCGTGAAGAGGTCTTCCTGACTCCAGGCCAGGAGCTCCATCCACTGCACCAACTAGCTGCCCTGTGAATAGCTTAGCCGGAAATAAACAAGCCCAAATCAGGAGTAGGGGGCAAAGTGTAAGTGGGGCTAGGTGAACATAAGAAACACTTAAGGCCTTTCAGGAAAGTTCCAATTATCTTTCAACATGTTTATTTTTTTCAAACAAAACCACTGGGGCTGTCAGTGGTTGACATTCCCACCCAGCTTTATCTTGAATTACCTCTCTGCTTCCATACAGTCAATATGAAAAGGGCAGTGGAGGTTTGGGAACCAAATAACACAACAGAGTTTAGAAACATTTTCCTCCCATTGACCCAGCCACTGACTCAAAGCTGGCACAGGCAGAGGGGATGGCAGCAGCCCAATAGAGTACTATTTTGTTGTGTACGAGTAGAAGGAATGGAGAAGTGCACTTTCCACTCAAACCTGAGATTTATTTCTATTAAGATGTCAATAAACCAATGTGAAACCTCAAATGACAACACAATGCATTGTTGGGAAGGAAAGTTTTTTAAGACAGTAGGGAATCAGTAATTCTGCTGATAGGTTCTATTTGCTCACTTGTTTTTTCATTTGAGGCAAAACCATTTAACATTTTCAAACAAACTGGCCTCTTGCTGTTCCCAGAACTCAGCATTCTGTCTCGCCCTTGCCAGGCTGTCTGTCACCTCTGCCAGCAATGCTCTCCCATCTCATCTGGAATACCTAGCTTCCTTCAAAGCAGGAATTCTTGTTTTTGTCTTTCACACGTGGCAGGGAGAGGGAACAGTGTAAAAACTGCAAGACTTGTAGTCAAGAAGACCCAAGTTTGAAACCTGACTCGGGCATTTAACTAGCTGTATAATCACTGGGCCTCAATTTCCTCATCTGTAAAATGGAGACAACAAAAACACCTACCTCACAGGGTTGTTGTGAGGAGAACAGATGAAACAATGAGCGTAAAACCCTTCACACACCCTATGGCTAGCTAGTGCTAGACGTCTGTTGAAGTGAATTGACATCATCGGCAACTAATCAAAGTAATATATTTGCAAAGGAACAGGATGTGAGAAATTGATGTTTTAAGGTATTGATTTGTCCTGTAAGCTGATGACCCTTCTATTGTTTTCTGAAGACGGATGCCTTTTAAATTCCAATTTTTACAATAATACAGACAGACAAAATGATTTGAAGATTCATTTTCCTTAAATCTTTTTTTAAAATAACCCTCCATTTGGCCCCAATGATTAAATCTGTGTTCAAATAATTAGTATTACAAGAAAAGTCTCTGTATGACAAGCGTATTTCTAAGCTTAAGTTATTGACTCAGTTATGGAAGTCTTCTCAAGTACAAAGCTCAAAAAACATAAAATAATTTGGAGAGGTTTTTGGAATTTGACTTGTAGTTGATACTTTCTTAATTTGAAAAGGAGTTTGTATTTGAATTCTCAAGAAATCATATTTCCTTGAACAGTGAGATATGAGGAAGAAGGAATTATTCAAGGATTAAGGCTGAGGCAAAAGTTTCCAACCTTGTAGGCAGTCCCAAAAGCTTTTCCTACTTCCAAACCTCATTCTATACTTAGCTGAAGCAGGGGCTAAAGAAAAGATGAAGCTGCCTCACTGATGCCTAGAAAACACATCTCAAGATCCAGGCCTGAAAAAAAGATGATGGGGGGCTGGCAGTGGTGGAGGAGGGCAGGGAGATAGAGCCAGGAAATCTAGCTGGAAAAAAAAAACCTAAAATGGTAACCTTAGTTTGGATTTTCATGGTACAGTCACACAATGAAAAACATAAGATTGAAAAAAAAGACAGTGTAATGTCAAAGACATTCTTAACTCTGGCTAATCACATCAGTTACAAAAGTAAGAGAGGTGCCAAGGAGCTGCCTGGCAATTCAGGATTGCAGGTTCTCAAGATAGAGAGGTCAAGGCTAGGGAAACAGACCCAGGAAACACTGATTCACATAAAAGTCATAAAGTCCTAGCTAGGACCACAAGTATAGAGCTATAAGGGACCTTAGCCTTCATCAAGAGAAGCTGGACAGAGCACAGCACAAGGAATCCAAGGACCTAGGTTTCCAACCCCAGCTTTTGCTATTTATTATTGTGTGATCTTTGGAAATTAATCAGGACAGACATTAAATACCTATATGTGCCAGGCTCTGTACTGGCTGCTGGAAATACAAAAACAAAAATGAAAGCCTGTCCTCAGGGAGCTTACAGTCTAGGAGTGGAAGACAACATATCTATATAGATGACATATCTATACAAATATACAATAGATCTCTCTGTGTATCTATAGATAGATATGAAGGTAACTGGGGAGGGGACAGGCTCTTGCAATTGGGGGCATCAAGAAAGGCTTCATGTAGAAGATGGTACTTGATCTGACCCTTAAAGGAAGCTCTCTAATGGGCAGAACTAATGAAGGAAGACATTACTGGCATAGGGGATCACCACTACAGGGGCACTTTATTTTGTTAAACATTTCTCAGTTATATCTGAATCTGATTTTGGACTACAACTGGGAGTTTTCCAGCCCATGTGCCACAAATTTGACACTGGACTAGACTCCTTTTTCAGCCCTTTCTAGTTGCAAATCTGTGATTCTACTTGCTGAAGGTCATACAAGTCAGTAAGTAGTAAAACCAAAATGAAAAGGTAGATCCTCTGACTCCCAAATCATGTGCCTTTTCCCCTACACCATGATACCTTAGGAGTAGACAGGATTACCATGGAAGAGATGATGAAAAGAAAGGCAATATGGCACAATAGGAGCCCTGAATTCTAATCCATTTTTCTCCCATAACTGTGACCCTGGGTCTCTATCTCACTCGACCTCAGTTTTCTCAGCTGTAAGATGGAATCAGATTGGATAAGCTCCAAGGGCCTTTTCAACTCTATGGACCTAAGAAGTTTGAGGAGAGTAAGTTAGAGAACATTTTCTTCAATGGGTCCATGGAAGAGGAAGAAAAGCCAGGAAAGAGGGGTGGTCAAAGCATCAAATATAGCAGAGGGGTCAAGGAATGTGAAGCTGAGGGGGAGAATAAAAACACTGAAGGTCATGGGTGACTTTGAGAGAAGAGTTCCCGTTAAGTGGTGAGAATAGAATCCAGATGGTAAATGGCTAAAAGAATGGTGGGGAGGAAGTTAGGAATTCCTTTTTTCTAACAGTGAGGATGAAAAGATGGGAGAATGACTTCAGTGGGTAGCAAGGTTGAGAAAGGGGTGGTCGTTGTTTTGGTTGTTGTTTTAAACCATAGCGGAGACATAAACAAATTTATGGACAGAGAGGAAAGAATCTGCAGAGAAAAAGAAGTTAAAGATATACAAAAGAGAATAACGAAAATCAACAGGAAACTGGAAGGGGTGGAATCAAGGGCACAGGTGAAGTGAGTACCCTTGGTAGGGAAAAGGATCATTTCATTTTCTGAAACAGGAGGATGAGTGTCAACCCAGACAAATTCTGTATCAAAGACAGAAGTTGGGGGATTTCAGATCAAATTTGATCTCAGCAAAGCAACGCTATGAGAGAAAGAGTAGAGGTGAAATTAAGGTGCTCAAAGAGAGTCAATAAGTTTGGGAATTCCTAAAGGAGTAGATAAGAGGTGAAGAAGAGAATCGTTGGGTAACACTGAGAACCTAAATGAGATTAGGTAACATAAATTTGCACTTTCAGAACCAACCAATTTCAGAGTCTACACAAAGTAAGCAGTTAATAAATGCCATTTTATTCATTCATTTATGCACTGCTAAGTTTCTCCAATAATACTGGAGAGCCCAGAAACAGATGAAGAAGACCACAGGCATCACCTAGAACTGGAGAGCAGCAGAACTAAAATGACACTGCGATGCAATGAAAAACCATTCACTTCCGGACTCATGAGATCATTGGTTTATAAATGAAAGGTACCTTGGGGATTCGTGACTTGAGCCCTCTTCCTCTTAGAGATTTGGAAACTGAGGCCCAGAGTGTCTGAGTAACTTGCCCTGGGTGATGCAGCTAGTAGGTGTCTGAAATGGGATTCGAACCTTGAGCTTCCTGACTCCAAGTCTAACACTCTGTCCCACTTCTTGCAGAACCTGGGTTTACCACATATACCACCCCCCTCTCTATGTCACTGTCTATAGGAGCTTAACCTCTATTTGAGTCACTTTACCTTTCTTGGCCTTAATTACCCATCTATAAGATGAGATATCTTAGCTCTCAATCCATCCAGTGACCCCAGGATAGAAGGTTAAAGGAGTGAGGGGATGGATGGAGGAGGCTAGTTGGGCATTGTAGTGACAGACTCTGGGAGTCTAGACCAGGGGTGGGGAACCTGTCGCCTTCTAGATCCTAAAGTGCGGCCTTTTCACTGAGAGGCCACACTTAAGGATCTAGAAGGCCACATGTGGCCTCAAGGCTGCAGGTTCCCCACCCTTGGTCCATACCAATTAGAGAAACCCATGAAGGTAGAACAGGGATGAGGAAAAGCAAACAGAACCCAAAATTCCACTGAAAGAAGAATGGCGGATAGGTTGCTACAAGCAAACAA